GAGAGAGAGGAGAGAGAGAGAGAGAGAGAGAGGTGGTGATTAACTTATGAATGAAGCAATTAACATTGAACCTAAAAAAAGTAGCAGGAAATTATTGGACCCAAAATCCAGAATCAACAAATAGAGAGAGAGAAGGAAAAATGCATACGCGCTGCTCCAAGAGAAGCTGCATAGGCATAACTGATATTATCAAGGGGTTCGACGTGAAACACATAAAGCTGAGTAGAGAGAGACGGGAGGAGGTTCTCCAAAAACCACTCAAAAGCATAGCGGTTACACTCACTGTCATCCACTGCAACCATCACCTTCTTCTCCCCTTCTGCCATCTCTTTTTCTGTAAAACTCCATTTGTAGTGATGAGAACACTTGTCAAACTAATGAACTTCAAGAAGCATCAAAAGAGATAATTTATAGCAGGAGATGAGATCGTGCATGGAACAAACGTGGCACATATTTGGCAAACGAGATGGGTTCCCGGTGGTAGCAAACTGCACCACGTGAGCTTCGGCTAATGGTTTAGGCTTCCATTTCCAGCATTACTAAAATAGGGTACGGCCTCACATCACTACTAGCTATTTTTAAATCAGGCCTTCAGATAGTGTTGAAAAATATAGTTTTCATCATTGAAGAAAAAATCTAGCTGTAAAACCGGTAACCACCAAATATTGTTGAGAAATATAGTTTCAATCGGGTGACCGGCTGTGTATGTTTTAAAATATTTATGTAAAATTTCAAAAAATATGCGACTTTGTTTGTAATGTGTTTTTTAAATACAAAGATTGAAAATTGTTTTGGCTATTGATGCTTATTTTTACAATTTTTCATCTGTTTTGAACAATTTTAAAAATATCTTTTGGCACAAATATTCTTTAAAATCTATTTTTCGTTAATTTTCAAATTCATTTGGACGTGCTTTATTTAATCATTTTTTAAAAGAAAAAGTTTATATAGAGCCGAGGCTCTAAATAATCAAATTAGATCCTACCTCCAAAATTTCACTAGAAGAGATTGTTTTGATGCCCAAATATCCTCAAATTAATCATCTTGACATGTGAAAAAAATGGATTTTAAATTTTGGAAATAGTGTATTTTGAAATTCATTTTTGGAATGTCTATTTTCAAGATTTTCAAGTTTTCATAGATATGTCGATCTATACTATTTTTGAAGCTTTAAACTTTATAAATAAAGATGCAAATATATGTATTTTTCAACACTATTTGAAAGTAGGCTCTAATTTGATTTTTTTAGAGCCTAGGCTCTTTACAAATCGCACCTTTTTTTAAATATAGTTTTCATATTTTATTAAATATTTTGTTTGTATTTTTTTTTAATGCTACTTTGACCACCTAGGACTTGCCCGATTAGAATGGTTGAACGGTTAAGCCTGTTAAGCTGCTTCTGGGCCCATATCCGGTTAACTGTTCCGTTTCGATTTTTTCTACACAGTTTTCAATACTAGAAATTTTTGTGATAGAATATATTTTCATATCCAATTATAAAACCTAAAGCTTAAAAATAGTGTAGATCAAATATATCTATTAAAACTTGAAAATCTTGATAATTGAGGGTCCAAAAATGCATTACAATATGCACTATTTCCAAATCTTGAAATCAATTTTTTTTCTCATATTCATGCATCTTGAGGGCAAGATGATCAATTTGGGGATATTTGGGCATCAAAACAATATCTTCTAGTGAAATTTTTGAGGTGCACCCTAGTTTAATTGTTTAGAGCCTCGCACTTATATAAAATTTTCCTTAAGTTATTAAATTTTTTTTGTGGTAAATAAATCATCAGAAGATTTTCAACACCAGAACTATATCAAGAAATAAAATTTAGAAGTGTGTAAAATCTATAACACAATAAAGTAAAACAGAAAGGAAAAAAATTATATAAGGTTGCAATCTTACTTATGGAAGTAAGGTTGCAGTAATCCACAACATCCATTTTATTTGTATGTTATAGTTTTGTCATGATCTTAAAAGATGTATTACTTTTTAACATTTTTTTTAAAATTATATCAAATCTACACAGTCCAACTAACACAACCTTGTTTGGATACCTAGAGAGGCCTCTTTAAGAGATGTCTCTCCCGGAAGAGTCCCGTTCTACTAAGTTTGGTACTCAAGAGGCATCTCATGTGGAGTAGCCTCTCTATGTTTTAACATGGAGAGCACTATTCATCCAAAACAGTGGAATGACACTCTCCTAGATTGAGTCAGCGACAAGGACCAACAAAAAAACTTTCATTTTATCAAGACTAGAACTACAAGGCCAAAGCAGAAGAGGGGAGTAGCTGACTCAACTGAGTCAATGTCGGAGGTGATGGGAGGGGTTAATTGATAGATACAATCATTGTTTTTGGACTTGGCCGAGTTACTCGGCCTCAACCCAAGGGTGAGGCAGCGTACCATGTACAAATTTAATAAATATGTTATATATTCCCATACATAATTGTGTGCGATTAAAGTAATTTTTTGGTTGTTAGTGACGGCTCAGCACTTTCCCGTCCAAGGTTCGAATCCCGCCAGGTGTGATCCTAATATTTTTTATTAAAAAGAGGCGTTTCTTATTTTATTAAAAAAAATAGGTATTTCTTATTCTATTAAAAAAATAAAAAGCCAATGTGATCCCAAATTTTTAATGAGCAATGATCCAATAAAACGGTTTTTAATGAGCAATGATCCAATAAAACGGTTGTATCATAGTATAATGCAACGACACTTCTAGAAAATCATGTTTGTGGTATTTGTATGACCCCAAATTTTGCACACACACTCTCTTCATCTCAGTAATCAATCCTCCAAAAAAAAAAAAAGTTCAATTTGAACCTTAGATATGGTCAAAATGGGTCCCCTCCAAAAACGAATCTAAACCGTCCATTTTGTGAGTTTCAAGATCTTAGCTTTTATAAACTCAAATCATTTTTTCCTTTTTTAACATTGCTCATCTAATGATAATAGAGCCATCCAAAAAAAATTGGAAATGAAAAAATCCTTCTAAAGACAAGATCTAAGCATCTCACTAAAATGAACGGCCTATGTTAATTGGGCTAAAAAAATACTTTCTAGGTTGTGTTTTCAATTTTTTTTTTTTTTTTGTGATTGTTCATTAGAATAAAAAGAGTGTATATTTTAAAATTTGGATCAAACAAATGGCCATGAAATGGTTTTTTAAGGTTGTTACATTATATTACTATACAACGGTTGCATGAAATCATTGTCCTTTTTTAATTAAAAATAAGCGTTTCTTATTTTATTAAGTAAAACTACACGTTCCTTATTTTATTAAAAATTATAAATATTAAGTATAGGTGTTTCTTATTTTATTATATATTATTTTTAATTAAAAATAAGCGTTTCTTATTTTATTAAGTAAAACTACGCGTTCCTTATTTTATTAAAAGATATAAATATTAAGTAAAAATAGGTGTTCCTTATTTTATTAAAAATAAAAATAAAAACATTGCTTTTTTTGAGCATGCTTGAAGGGGCTAAGGAGAGGTTTGGATACCTCAACGTTAGAGGAGGCGCATACCACTAACCCAGCACGCTACTTGAGCATTTGTTATGATAATTATCTTATTATATATATATGTTATTTGAGCACATGTTATAATAATAATACGTAATCATATTATGTATATCTTATTGCCAATGTCCAAATACCTTGATTGAGTCGATTTTTTAAAAATTAGATACAACCACACTCAGAATTCATTTATTAATAGTGTCTATGAGGTTATGTCTAAGATCGAGGGTCTCCCATTCTTAGCCAAGATATGAGCATCAAGGGAAATCATTGCAGACATCAATATCTTCAATGTATTCTGAAAATGAGAGATGAAGAAATGGCTATCCATGTTTTTCATGAGTACGCTCTACAAATTTGAAGGGCTTGCTGCTCTCTCTCTCTTATTTTCTGGACGAATGGGCATCTTCATAGATGCAAACTCTCTCCTTTTTCCTTTTTAATTTGGCTATTTGGTTTCATTCCAAGAATTTCACAACAAATATATTGGACCTCTTTTATTTTGAGTCTATTTCCCGGCATGTGCCACATAGTCTATTTCTTCAGCATTTGACAAGGGTTTCAAGAAAATTGAGGATAATAGACATTTTAGGATTTAAAAATGGAACTATAGGTAATATTGAAAGGAATATGAAGATTTCTCAGCATTGCATCGAAGCCAAGAAACAATGTTGAAGAATTACATGAACGAAATGAAAATGGGAAGTTTATTTCGTATATCTTAAAATCAGATGAAGGGAAATCTTTTTTAAAAAACTGGTTGTAATGAAATTTTGAGATCGACATTTTCCACCCAAATCAAATATTGGACAGGAATCTTCTAGGTTTCTTACTGGATGCTATCTAAATCGTGGACATTCATATTCTAATAGAGACCAAATCCATAGGAAGCCTCTTTCCATGACAGACATCTTCTGACATCCAAACGGCTTCTAAAAGATCATGTCCTTGACCATTTTTCCCCCAAAGAAAGGTTGTGGTACTAATATACCCCTTGGGGAAATTTTGTGGCAAATGTTGCCATTCCCTTTACTCCTTAATAAAAGTTTTAAAAGGTTGAATGTGAATAATTAAGAAAGTTAAAAATGAATAGGAGAACTTTCACATTACTTTATTCAACTTCGGTTGAACTTATAGGATTTTTTATTGTTGAGAAATTATCGTAAATATACTTTAATTTAAGCTTAATTGAAAAAAGACCGGAAACTTTCGTTTACCTTGTCTACACTATTGTTCTTCATTTTCGGCTTTTTTTGGATCGAAATGACCTTCATGGTAATCTTACTACCGTAATATATACCATTTTATACGGTATTTAAAATATCGTGGTAACTTCAAGTAATATTACGGTACTTTAAGTACCGTAAAACTCTGGCCATGACCGTGAAGTCAATTACGGTATTTTAAGTATTGTAAAACAAAAACCCATTATACGGCATTTTAAGTACCGTAAACACTAACCCATATTATACGGCACTTAAAATGGTGTAAACTCTTTTCTCATTCTGTTTATCTCTTTCATCTCTAATTCTTTTTATGTTTAGCTCTTCTTTCTCTCTCTAATTCTTTTTAATATTTATCTCTTCTTTCTCTTCCTAATTCTTTTTTATCTCTTCTTTCTCTTTACAATCTCATCATCGTTTCCTTAGATAGATCATGTCTTTTGTTTTGCATAGTTGAAAGCAGTGTTTGATTACTCTCTCTAAGGAAAGGAAGATGAGACTGTAGAGAAAGAAAAAAGAGATAAAAAAGAATTAGAGAGCGAATGAAGAGATACATATTAAAAAAAATTAGAAAGAGAAAAAATAGATAAATATAAAAAA